CGGCGACAGAGTGAGACTCCAACTCAAAAAAAAAAAAAAAAAAAATCTGAACTGTCCTGAATATAATAATTGCAGTATAGATAAAAATTTAGGAATTCAAAAATTGAGAATGACTCATCTCTGAAATAGTAAGTTCAGTTTTGGCAAGAACAGCTAGATTTCAGAGTAGTAGTACACACCACCCTCTGAAAATGAAATATGAACTCACAAGATTTAGGCATTATAAAGAATTTGGAGTCAAAATAAACAAGCTTGAGTAGTATCTATACTTCCTAATTTCAAAGCTCACTCTCTTCCACTGCCAGCCATGTGAACCTTGAAGACACAGATATAACCCGCCTCCCTCGCTACTTCATGATCAACAAACTATCAACAAGAACTATCCAGTTTAGCCAGTTTCTCCGAGCAACTGTGGGAGTAATAGCAGGTAAAGTGGACTTATTAATTTGTAACTTTTAAGAGTTGCGTTATTCATTGTCAAAGAAGGTCTTGTACAGAAATGACCTAGATATATAATTTTCCTGGAAAATGTGTATAGGATGAAGGGAATAGAAACCTGCAAACTGTTGGCAAATAGGCTATGGTTTTCATTTCAGTAATTTTGCTGGTCACTAAATATTAAGACCAAAGCAGCAGAATTAGGGAAGATGAAGAGTATGGAAGTGTATGTTTGGTGTTTTGCCCCTATTTATACTGTCTGTTGACCTACACGTGTTGCTAGGCTTTCTAGTGACTACCCTGTACCTCAGAGATAAATATAAACTTTTAAATATTTCATTGAAAAACTCTTGGTATTTATTCTTTCCCTTGCTAATATGCTTTACTCTTTTTCTGGCATCTTTAAAATTCTGTTTTTAAAATCATTTTTTTCTAATGTCCAATTATTTTAGGGAAATAAATTAAGCAACTTAGTTGCATCAGACACAATTAATTCCAAATGACCTGAGGAAAGAACAAACAAAGCATTTAGACTTTATTTCCTGGTCAGTGAGGGATCTCTATGGGAACTATTACTTCACAAAGAATTTTCTCCACCCTACCATCAAAAACTGCATATTTCCACAGCTCTTCTGTCACCATGGAGGGGACCTTCTCAAATGCCATCCTTGTTCTAGCCATCTCTGTGTGGACTGCCTTTGCAACTGGTGAGTTACATGTTCTTGTTCTGCCCACATTTTCTGCAACAGATTCAGAATCATGGGATAATCAGAAATGGAAGTAGAAGTGCCATTCAATTTTATTTAATCCTAATTTCTCATGTTACAGACGTAGAAACTAAAATCCAGAGAAAGAATTCACACACAATGTTGTTAGTATCAAAGCCGGGAGTTGAATCCAAACTTTCCAAACCCAGGACTATTGAACTTTTCAAAATATCAGGTTACTATTCAATTGTCAGAATGAACAAACAAGATCCAACTTTATTTTTTATTTTTTATTTTTTTGAGTTGGAGTCTCACTCCGTCACCCAGACTGGAGTGCAGTGTCCGCCCCCGGCCACCGCAGCCTCAACCTGCTGGGCTCCGGCAATCCTTCCGCCTCAACCTTCCGAGTAGCTGGAACTACAGGCACCCGCTACCACGCCCGGCTGATTTTTTTGATTTATTGTAGAGATGAGGTCTCACCAAGTTGCCCAGGCGGGTCTTGAACCCACCGGCTCAGGCAATCCACTCACCTCAGCCTCCCAAAGCGCTGGGATTACAGGCTGAGCTACCGAGCCCGGCTAAGATCCAACTTTATGCTGTCTACTAGAGACACTCCTTCGATTTAAAAATACAAATAAGTAGAAGTAAAATGATTGAAAAAACACGTCATGAAACTGCAGCCATAAAGCTGGAATGGTAATACTAATATCAAAGTAGACTTTAACACAAAAAAATGTTACTAGAGATAAAGAAGGGCATTTTGACCAGTCTTGGTGGCTCAGCCTGTAATCCCGGCACTATGGGTGGCCGAGGCAAGTGGATTTTCTGAGCCCGTGGGCTCAAGACCAGCCCGGGCAACTTGGCAAGACCTCATCTCTACAACAAATGTAGTTCCAGTTACTTGGAAGGCTGAAGCGGAAGGATCACTGGAGCCCAGCAGGTCGATGCTGGGATGGCCATGAATGTGCCACTGCACTCCTGCCTGGGCAACAGAGTGAGACTCCAATTCAAAAAAAAAAAAGAAGGACATTTTATAATGATAAAGGATCAATCTATCAGGAAGAAATAACAATTACAAACATGTACACTTAAAAATGGAGCCCCAAATATATGAAGATAAACCAACAGAATTGAAGGGAGAAGTTGATAAGTCAATAATAATAGCTGGAGACACCTCCCACTTATAATAATGACTGGAATAACTAGACAAAAGACCAACAAGGAAATCTAAGCCCAAAACAAGGCTAATAACCAACAAGACCTAACAGACATCCACAGAATACTCCATGCAGCAACAGCAGGATCCATATTCTGCTCAGGTACACATGGAACATTTTCTAGGAAAGACTATATCCTAGGTCATAAAACAAGCTTCATACATTTATTTGTTTGTTTTTGGGTTTTTTTGTTTTTGTTTTTTTTTGAATTGGAGCCTCACTCTGTCGCCCAGACTGGAGTGTAGTGGCCGCTCCCGACCACCGCAGCCTCGACCTGCTGGGCTCCAGTGATCCTTCCGCCTCAGCCTTCTGAGTAGCCGGAATTATGGGTGTGTGCTACCATGCCCGGCTGATTTTTGAAAATTTATTGTAGAGATGAGGTCTCGCCAATTTGTCCAGGCGGGTCTCGAACCTGCGGGCTCAGGCAATCCACTCACCTCAACCTCCCAAAGCGCGGGATTACAGGCTGACCCACCGAGCCCGGTTAGGCTTCATACATTTAAAGGGATAAAGCATATATTTATAAAATATAAGCTCTCCCGCTACACAGGAATGTAGCTCCTATGAATATATTTCTTTATGTTCTATAACATAAGTAATATAATGTATTTGACAATAACAGCCAAAAGGAAGTGAGTGGCAGCAACATTGCTCTCACCATTGCTATTCAACATTGTACTGGAGGTTCTAGTCAAAGCAATTAGCCAAAAACAAAAAACAAACAAAAAAACACATCCAGATACAATCAGAAGAAGTAAAATAATCTCTGTTTATAGATGACATAATTTTGTGAATAGAAAATCCTAAGGAATATACTAAAAACTATTAGTCAGCAAGTTTGCAGGATGCCAGATCAATATACAAAAATTAGCTGTATTTCTATACACTACTAATAAACATTCTAAAAATGAAATTAGGAAATCAATTACATTTACAATAGTATCAAAAAGAATAAAATACCTAAGGATACATTTGCAATGAAAACTACAAAACATTGAAGAAAGAAGTTAAATAAAACCTAAATAAGTATAAATGACATTCATCTTCATAGATTGGAGGCTCTAACATTGTTGTTTTTTTTTTTGAGTTGGAGCCTCACTCTCGCCCAGACTGGAGTGCAGTGGCCGCTCCTGGCCACCGCAGCCTCGACCTGCTAGGCTCCAGTGATCCTTCCGCCTCAGCCTTCCAAGTAGCTGGAACTACAGGCAAGTGCTACCACGCCCGGCTAATTTTTGATTTATTGTAGAGATGAGGGCTCACCAAGTTGCCCAGGCAAGTCTCGAACCCGCGGGCTCAGACAATTCACTCACCTCAGCCTCCCAAAGGCGCGGGATTACAGGCTGAGCCACCGAGCCCGGCTCTAACATTGTTAAGATGGCAATATTCTCCAAATTAATCTACAGATTCCATGAAAATTCTATCAAAATCCCAACTGGCTTTTATGCAGAAACGGAAAAGCTGATCCTAAAATTTGTATAGAAATACAAAAGACTGACGATAGTAAAAGTAATACTGCAAAAGAACAAAGTTGAAGTACTCACAACTTTTCAATTTCAAAGTTTACTGCAGTTACAGACATCAAGACAATGTGTTACTAACTGAGGGATCGAAATATGGACCGATTAAATAGAATAAGAATCCAGGGGGAGAAAATCTTAGAGGGAATTGATTTCTTTTTTTTTTTTTTTTTGTCAGAAT